ACCTTACAAATCAATGTATTTTTTTTCCCTCTTTGAATCAATGAAATTCAAAGTTTTTTTCATTCAAAACTTTTCCAGGTACAAGGACTAAAACACGTGTCAAGCAACTGCAAAGTAATGTTACCTTTATGACATTATCCACGCATGCTTCAGCTTCTTCCTTTTTCTTTACTTCCTCTTTGTCCAGACCACACAACTTTACCTGTAACATGATAGTAAGAGATCATAACAATTCTTTCTTGACAAAAAAATGTGAAGATTCAAGTCCCCCTTTAAAGTAAGGACTATGGTAAAGTATGAAGGAGAGAATTCATATAAACAAAGCTTTGCGGTTCTTAGTTTACACACTTTAGCAGTCCTCAATAACAATCAATATACCTCTGCTTCAACGATGCATGTGTCTTTCAAAATAAAACCGCTAGCAGAAGAATTTAGTTCACTAAGAGGAATGAATGAAGCGAAACCCCAGTCGCTCTCACTTGCATTGAACACATGTTTTCTAACTGCAGAATACAAACGAACATAAATTTAGCCACACGCGTAACCGGTATCGTTATCCAATAACCGTTATGCTATTTCATGCTAGTAACTTCTTTATAGGAACATCATTATTAGAGAGAATATCGTACCCTTTTCAACTGTGCCTTCACTATGAATCTGATTGATGACAGACAAGCTAAACTGGGCATCTCTACTCCATCCATAAGGCAAAGTTTCCGAATCAGCAACATCGAGATACATCGACAAGTGATCCACGTTGTTCCCTTTCGGGAAAATTAAAATCCTCCTGCGCGTTTCAATCAAAATCAGAATGATGTACTTCAACTGACATGACTAATTAATTAACGACATAATATTGACAAAATTAACAAGCACCATTTGTAGCCTCCTACGTAGAAAATATCAGAATAGAGTTTCCTGACACTAAGCTTCGTAAAGCTCTCAATTGTCCATTTGAAACGGCAACTTGAAGAATCACCCATTGACTGAAATTCCACGGCACTTGCCTTTTCTGCCTCCGCAACTAAGGTTAGTAAGCAAAAAAATAAATAAAAATAATAAATAAATAAAAATAATAAATAAATAAATAGATAAATAAATCTAGCATCTTGATTGGATATCAAAAATGGGAAAAATGGGAAAAGAAAAAAGAAAAAAAAAAAGGAAAATTAGAATTCTCTTCTTAACTTTTCAAAGGTTAAGCCCCAAGAAAAGACAATTTCTGATCATTGAGGCCACACAGAGTTACAAAGATTAATATAATGTAACTGAATTAAGTCTATAGAAAAACAAAACAAAATCCTCTATCATCAAAATAATAATAGTTATATATATTATTACCAAGAATTGGCTTGGTTCAAGTACATGCTATTATGAGCGTAATTTCTATTATTTGTTTTTAAGTTTGAGGAGCCTTTTCATAAATTTTGAAAAGAGCAAAAGAGAAACGAGGAAATACGAGAAATTTTTACCAGAATACAGTTGAACAAGTGCAATTTTAGAGAACAATCTCAACGATGAGGAGAGATAATCGGCGTCAATATGAATAGTTTCTTTTTTAAAAGGAATACTTCTTTTTTAAAAGGAAAAAAGAAAAAGGACCTTTCTTCTTTGCGAAAGGACCTTTCCTGCACTTTTTTTTTTTTTTTTTTTTTGGGTTGAAAGCTTCGG